AGATTTGGTGGGCTAGAGGAGTTGGCCACAATTCAGATTCCAAGCCTCTTCCCACTGTATACTCAGATAATTACGTGTCATATACCTCTGCCCTACATAGAGACATATTGATGAGCAAAGTATGGAGTGGAAAGATGGTAAAAGTATGAGATGTCAGGACCTCCCTCTCTTAGAAGTTAGCTCATGCAGAGCCACTATAATGTCATATGACCAAGGAACAACAGAATGCCAGGATTAGACATATAGACAATATTATATAAATGTGAACATCGATTGTATTATGCCAGAATTGAATAATAACTGCAGCAGCCTTAGATTGAGGATTTTCCTGGGCACTTTGACCACTAAGAGTTAATAATACACTGCTTGGGACATGGCAAAATGCCCAGGGTAGCTTGAACATTTTTGTTTTGGTCTAGTGTCCTTGAAGCAACCAAAGCTGTGAGTCTGTGAACAGACTTTCATATGCTTCTAGAGTCTTAAAACTGGGTTATGGGGTTACTGAGTAAGAATGATAGCTCTGTTTATTAATGATGTCAGTACTTGAGGGAAAATGATTGGAAATGATAACTCTGTTCTGTCATAGATTATTAATGACTAAAAGATGAGCAAGAGGAAGTGGAACACATGTCCAAAACCAAAAATGATATGATCTGTGTTTTGGAACATAATGGATGTATCCCTGCTTACTAAATTTTGTATAAGTAAAGAAGCATTCTGGCTGCTAGTCAGTCAGGCCGCAAGATTCTCCTGACTATCATGGCCTGGCTCACTTCCTTCCCCTGCCGACTCCTTACATCCTCTGCTGGGACCTGTCCACCGCCAGGGATGGCTCCTGGCAATCTGGGCACCAGCACTCCCGGGAGCAGCAGGAAGAGTCACATGCAGCAGGTACACCTGCTCTGGGTAGGGAGAAAAGAAGGTGCCATTCTGAAAGTTCATGAGCAGCCTTCAGAAGACCTGTGGTTCTCAAGGAGCCCAGGCACTTGTGATACAGAAGACAATGGCTTATGAATGCAGTCAAAAACTGAGTTCTTCATGATGCAGAATAAAGTCTTAGTCTTTTAAGCCATTATTAGGTATTTCTGATTGATTCTCTACCTATCTGTGGATTTTATTTTCCTGTTTCTTTGAATAGTTTTTAGTTTCTAAACAATGCACATTTAAAATAATACAAAGCAGTGACTCAGAAACAGATCTTTTCTTCTATATTTATTCCCCACCGTGTGACTGCTAAAACACATTGTTTGTTTGTTTGGGGCTGTCTCACGTAGTAGTAACTTTTGGGGATTAATTCTGCAAAGTCTGCAGTCTTCGTCATATGTTTTACTGAAGTTTCTTATTTGTTGTTTACATTAGTGATCTATTAAAAGGTGGAGGCATAGATTTCCTTATTATTTCGAATCACTGAGGTTTCCACCTTTTTCCAGAAGGTTCCCTTGCTATAGCAACCTGGACACAGTAATTACAGCTCTACATCCTACCTAGTCTCTACTCTCTGCTTTCTGAATCTCAGTCAGAGGCCAGCAGGTCACAGGCCCTTCTCAGGGTGTATGTGACCTTAGCCAGAGGCCAGAGGGTCACAGGCCCTTCTCAGGGTGTATGTGACCTAAGCCAGAGGCCAGCAGGTCACAGGCTCTTCTCAGGGTGTATGTGACCTTAGCCAGAGGCCAGCAGGTCACAGGCCCTTTTCAGGGTGTATGTGACCTTAGCCAGAGGCCAGAGGGTCACAGGCCCTTCTCAGGGTGTATGTGACCTAAGCCAGAGGCCAGCGGGTCACAGGCTCTTCTCAGGGTGTGTGTGACCTTAGCCAGAGGCCAGCAGGTCACAGGCCCTTCTCAGGGTGTGTGTGACCTTAGCCAGAGGCCAGCAGGTCACAGGCCCTTCTCAGGGTGTATGTGACCTTAGCCAGAGGCCAGCAGGTCACAGGTCCTTCTCAGGGTGTATGTGACCTTAGCCAGAGGCTAGAGGGTCACAGGCCCTTCTCAGGGTGTATGTGACCTAAGCCAGAGGCCAGAGGGTCACAAGCCCTTCTCAGGGTGTGTATGACCTTAGCCAGAGGTCAGTGGGTCACAGGCCCTTCTCAGGACATGTGTGACCTTAGCCAGAGGCCAGAGGTCAGTGGGTCACAGGCCCTTCTCAGGACATGTGTGACCTTAGCCAGAGGCCAATGGGTCACAGGCCTTTCTCAGGATGTGTGTGTCCTTAGCCAGAGCTTTTCAAAGCCATTTATGGAAAATGAGTTTTTCCTCTAGATTTTTCCTCTTTAGTGTTTCCAGCCTCTGCTTTACCCCAACAGGTATTTCTGTAGCTGAGACGATAATCATCACCATCCCTGTCACTGACAAACATCCTAGACATAGGGCTTTTCTATGGGGCAGGATGGATCTGGTAGGAGTTGGGAAGAAGAACGGGAATATGATCAAAATACACTGTATTCACAAATGAAATTCTCAAAGAATTATTAGAAAGACTGTATTGAAACAGTAAAAGTACTTACTACACTGAACAATAAGAACAAAGAGCAGGTTTTCCAGTAAGCTGCAGAGCCAGTCACATAACAATCCTCTCGGCAGCAGCTTCTGTGGGGCTGCAAACCTGGTACCTCATGGGGGCTACGGACTGGGCTTTCACAGTTAACGCCCTGTCCAAAGCTGCACTAAGGAGACGGAAACGTAAGGAGCTGGTTAGAACTTCAGGAAGCTAGCTTAGGAATAACTAACCATTTTTTTCTTGAATAAATATTTGGATGGGTACAAGAATTTGGAAAAATTTGGATAACTTTTACTAATATTTTCCTACTTTTATGAAGCTGATTTTGGTGGTACTTATCCATCAATCTAACAGGCCTGCTTAGTCTTCCTTTCAAAGAATGTTAATATTTGCCTAATTCCTTTTTAGATATATAAAATTTACAATTTAAGTATTTATTCAATTTGGGATATATTTTACATAGAAAGTGCAGAAGGCAATGGGAAGCCAATTGCAGTATTTTAAAAAACTTTCCTAATTAAAATTCTTTTGAGAATTTAATAAAAGTAAAATTTGTCTTTGCAGAAAAATCTGCACATATGTACAGTTTTGTGTAATTTTAATAAATTCTTAGACTACCTAGGCTTTCTTCTAGGGAATACAGACTCAAAGCATGGAATCTGTCACATGATCCCTGTATGTATCAATCCTAGGAGGGACTGGGTATTTCTGGATTGGTGTCTGCTCCAATGTTCTCCCAGCCTGTTTGTTCTTAGACAACAGCACTGTTTCAGCTAAACTGGGCACTTCTCTGCTCTGCTCTCCTCTGAAGCACTATCCTGTGCACAGTAAGCTCCTCACACCTCTGCAGCTTTGTTTTTTCATGCCAACTGACCACCAAACACTTGACAGGACCACCAAACACTTGACAGAACCACCAAACACTTGACACGACCACCAAACAAACACTTGACACGACCACCAAACACTTGACACGACCACCAAACACTTGACACGACCACCAAACACTTGACACGACCACCAAACACTTGACATGACCACCAAACACTTGACATGACCACCAAACACTTGACATGACCACCAAACACCTGATACAACCACCAAACACTTGACACGACCACCAAACACTTGACACGACCACCAAACACTTGACATGACACCTTTGTCAGCTTCCTATCATCTTTTAAAAGGCTAGGTTACTATTTTTCTACTACTGTATCTAACGAAATGCTTTTCTACTACCATATCTAAATGGCACTGGGGAGAAATAGGAAGTCACTTTAGTTATTAATACAGCAAAGAGTAAGTTTGATTGTAGCCTCTTATTTGATTATCCTAAATAATCAGGTGAGGTGTGAGCTTCACAGAGCTTTCCACAAAAGCCATGTTTCTGCCACTTGCCCTGAGTAAGAGTATAGGCTTTAAGCAATGGAATGTCAGTTGTATGACTAACTGAAGTCAACATGTGGAGATTACTCAGAATGCATCTGATAGGCCAGCACACTCACATTGCTTCCCTTATGGCCACTTCCTGCCCAGGGTTCCCTGTGTGCAATCAGAGAAATTCACATTCAGATAGACAGACTCGAGCAAAAGCTTACATTGCTAAGAATCTCCATTACATTCTCAACTTACAGGGGGCACATTTTGTGCTGTTTGTGTTTTGGTCTTATGTAGCCCAAGCAGGCTGCAAACTTGCTACACAGCTGAGGCTGGTCTTCAACCACCGATCTTCCCGCCTCTATTTCCTGAGCTAGGATTACAGGTGGGCACTGCCATGCCCAGATTTTGAGGGGACACATTTTAAATGGTATGTTGTGCTATACCATATAGAAGCCTGACATCCTATAGAGAAAATAGGTCTTTTTATGTATTTGTCTTTTATTCAAGCACCTCTGCCCATACAAAACCTGAATCCCTGGTAAAACAGAACATGCAAGTTTGACTATGGAAATGAAGCTTTGGGAGATCATGGGCGAAAGTTACTCTGTATGGAGGACATGCTGGTTCACTGCACATTTCCTCTCGGGAGACCATGGGGAGACTTGTGAGGTTATGTTAGTTATTGCTGCCAACTAAAGATACACAGGTATACAAGTCAGACATAATTTATTTGAATCAAACTGTTTTTCTAATCAAATACATTATTTACTGTGTGAATGTGCACATATTCCTGCATGCATGCACATGTGTATGCATGAAAGGTAGGAAAGGGGAGAAAGAGAATGAATGAATGAAATGAATGTAGGGTGCTTAATACAGTTAGAGTGACAAAACAGAAACATAGATTCTGATCTTTCTTAAATAAAAGAAAAACATAAAATATGTTATAGGATTTTTAATACTAGGAAGGTAAAAAATTATTGAATATTAAAAAAAAAACAGGTCAAAACAGAAATATTATGATAAAAATAAAATACCTGCCTCCCAAAAGTAAGGTAGCAATAGCCAGGTGCTTTCTCCTCTGAGGGATGGGGACCAAGGAGCCACACTTCTGGGTGACTTACCTGACTCATCACTCGCTGCTCCTGGATGGCGGCCTGAATAGCCTCTGCTACCCTTTCCTGATCTCTTGCATGCTCTGCCTTCCACATTTCCCGTTCTTCAGCATGAACTTTTTCCAGATTTTTCCTTTCTTCTTCCACTGCTTTGGTGATGACATCTTTCATAGCTTCTTTCTCAAGCTTAAAACAAAAACAAAACAAAACAAAAATGGCCAAAACAGCAATGTTAGCAATAAGTTCAAGCCCCAGACATTAAACTTAACACACAGTCCCAACATTGCTGCATTTCTGTATATTACATAAAGGCGCACTGCATTCAATCATTTTGATACAGATTTCCCCCCCTCACCTCCTGATATTTCTCCACTTTAAAGAAATCAAACCTTAGCTTAAAGCAGCAGGCATCAAAAAGTAGGTCTTAAAAGTTATTTATGGGGGCTGGAGAGATGGCTTAGCAGGTAATGGCACCAGCTGTTCTTCCAGAGGACCCAGGTTCAAGACCCACACCCACAGGGCAGCTCACAACTCTCTGTAACTCTAGTTCCAGGGGATCCAGCATCCTTACACAGACATACAAGTAGGCAAAGCACCAACGCATATAAAATAAAAATAAATACATTATTGTTTAAAAGTTATTTACGATAAGGAAGTGCTGTGGGAAGTTCTGTATGGCAAATGTGTTGCTAATTAGTCAATAAATAAAACACTGATTGGCCGTTGGCTAGGCAGGAAGTGTAGGCGGGGCAAGGAGGAGAATAAAGCTGGGAAGTGGAAGGCTGAGTCAGAGAGACACTGCCAGCCGCCACGATGAGAAACAGCATGTGAAGATGCCGGTAAGCCACGAGCCATGTGGCAAGGTATAGATTTATGGAAATGGATTAATTTAAGCTGTAGGAACAGTTAGCAAGAAGCCTGCCACAGCCATACAGTTTGAAACCAATGTAAGTCTCTGTGTTTACTTGGTCAGGTTTGAGAGGCTGTGGGACTGGCAGGTGAGAGAGATTTGTTCTGACTGTGGGCCAGTCAGGAAAACTCTAGCAACAAATGGCGTCCAACGTGGTGGCAAGAGTTTCCACCTAAAAACTGAGAAAAAAAGATTCTAAAATGGAGCTAAAAACAGTTCCTAATTGTCTCTCTCAAATGAGCAGCAGCTGCCTGTTTGAGCTACTGGTGGGTTCCTAGAGTGCGTGCTCGACCTGCAGTATGGCGGGAATGAGGCCTCTGCAAGTGGCACATTAAGCTACATGGTGGATTTAGCCTTTGCTAGTGCAAAACAAAAAAGGGTTTCTGGGCTACTTGCTGCTTGGATAAAAGCATAGACCCACGATAGCTCCCAGAGCTGGCGGTAAACCACTGCCGTGTTGGGAAGCTGAGGTGGGCGGAACCAGCAGCCACAGCTGCTGCAGTTTAAAGCAAGAGATTCACAATAAGACAGATTCAGATGTAATAGTTTGCAATGTGTGTAAAAGATACGTAGGCTTGAAAGAGACAAAAAAGATGATATATAGAGTTATAGAAACAAATACATAGTTTTAAAAAATAAAGTCTTTAAAAAGACAGTAAAGGTAGTATAAAAAATAAGCCACGTAAAAATGGATATTACACAGAGAATCTGCATTGTGTTGTCTTTGGGACTTTTAACTGCAGAAAAACATTTGATTGTAAAAGCTGTTGAGTTATGCCAAAATGTATATTTTAAAGGTACCTTGACTTCAAAATTTGGATATAAGGATATGTTACTTTGGAAAGGAGACTCTGCTTTTGTTTCCACAGAAAGCCAGAGGCTATGGATTTGTTCCAGATTAAGACACATCAGGTTTGACCAGCCAAGACCCCCTGAAAGGTCTCCGATGACACCATGGCCCAGATGATCCAACATCCAGAACGGTTTGAAGGCATCTGGCTCAGACGATACAGCCTCATGGACTATTCCATAATCCTAAAATTTTCTTTGTTTCCCCATAAGATACAGCGCCCCCCCTCCAGCAGGAAGTAGTAAGAGAAGCTACGCCCAAATTCCCAAATTATATGTAATTTTACTTTGTTAAGGTTAAAACCTTCCTTTTTGAAAAAAAAAAAGGGGAAGTGCTGTGGGAAGTTCTGTATGGCAAATGTGTTGCTAATTAGTCAATAAATAAAACACTGATTGGCCGTTGGCTAGGCAGGAAGTGTAGGCGGGGCAAGGAGGAGAATAAAGCTGGGAAGTGGAAGGCTGAGTCAGAGAGACACTGCCAGCCGCCACGATGAGAAACAGCATGTGAAGATGCCGGTAAGCCACGAGCCATGTGGCAAGGTATAGATTTATGGAAATGGATTAATTTAAGCTGTAGGAACAGTTAGCAAGAAGCCTGCCACAGCCATACAGTTTGAAACCAATGTAAGTCTCTGTGTTTACTTGGTCGGGTTTGAGAGGCTGTGGGACTGGCAGGTGAGAGAGATTTGTTCTGACTGTGGGCCAGTCAGGAAAACTCTAGCAACAAGGAAGAAACTACAGTAAACTGAAATGTGTCTTTCACAACATAACTCTTTCCTGTATTTTCAAAGACTCCTGTAATTGAACATGATTTCTAAACTGCTGATATTTGGAAAACACGGATTCACGTGTTGCTCCTTCAGAAGTCTGCACACTTCCTTGTTACCTGACAGGTGAATGTCGTATTCATTTGCACGGTCACCACTCCACCACCAACCTCCCTAAGTCCTGGAAAGCACATGGGGACTTTCCAGACTATTACCTTTGCTCAGTCTCCCTCTGTCTCCATTCAAGCCAACAGCCTGACCTTTTGTTCTTCCTGGATCCTCTCTCTGTTCAGAACTTGGCTCTCATCAGCTACTCCTCACATGTGTTGAATTCATCACAGACTTCTGCACTTGTTTACTTTGGCTTTTAAGCTGTTTGTCCAATTATTCGTCTCCTATGCTACACTGCACATGCCCTCTACCAACGCTCTCCTGTGTCTAGCATCCTATTTCCCAGAAGCTAATGCCCATTTCCATTAATGACACACCTAAGCCACACAGTGCCACACACCTTCCTTAGCTACAGACTCAAATTTAGAAGACTAGCCACTTCTTCAGGCTCACTTTAAAGGTAATTTATTATTAAAAAACATTTTAATGTGGACATTTTACAGCCATGATAATTTAATTAGTTACTCATTGCATTGTTGATGAGTAGGCATTTTTTTTTATCCAACTGTAGGTTTCATAAGGAAATGACAAAAATCATAATAATTCTTGGACCACCACCCTCAACAAAGTGAGATTACATATGCCATTCAAATAGTTGCTATGGCTACTGAACCTACTTCTAAATCACAAGCATATCTGTTTCTCTCTCCTCTCTCTCTCTCTCTCTCTCTCTCTCTCTCTCTCTCTCTCATCTCTCTCTCTCTCATCCATCCAGTACTAGAGGTATCACTGTTCTAACATAACTATTTTAAAATAAGTAACTAATAATCTATGTTCAATGCCATCATCTTATAGAATATGAATTAACAGGAATATGAATGATCATACTGAAAGTAAAAACTAGAGTGACGAAAAAGTGGAATTTTTCTGTAATGAAGTATTGTTCTACATTGTGTTACTGTCAGTGACAATGATTTTCATTCCACTGAGAAAGAATGCCAGCATTATGCACAGGCATACCTACCTTCACAGCTGACTCCAGTGTCTCTTTATTCCTCTGCATTTCTTCCTGCAGGCATTTTCCCAGTGTTTCCTACGAACAAGAAGCAACAGGGAGGATTCAGCAAAGGAAGGCAGTTGTACCCCAGGCAGTTGACCCACCCTTCTCCTGCTGTGGGTACCCCAGGCAGTTGATCTACCCTTCTCCTGCTGTGGGTACCCCAGGCAGTTGACCCACCCTTCTCCTGCTGTGGGTACCCCATGCAGTAGATCCACCCTTCTCCTGCTGTGGGTACCCCAGACAGTTGACCCACCCTTCTCTCCACTGTGGATACCCCAGGCAGTAGATCCACCCTTCTGCTGTGGGTACCCCAGGCAGTAGATCCACCCTTCTCCTGCTGTGGGTACCCCAGACAGTTGATCCACCCTTCTCCTGCTGTGGGTAACCCAGGCAGTAGATCCACCCTTCTCCTGCTGTGGATACCCCAGACAGTTGATCCACCCTTCTCCTGCTGTGGGTACCCCAGGCAGTAGATCCACCCTTCTCCTGCTGTGGATACCCCAGGCAGTAGATCCACCCTTCTGCTGTGGGTACCCCAGGCAGTAGATCCACCCTTCTCCTGCTGTGTGTACCCCAGGCAGTAGATCCACCCTTCTGCTGTGAGTACCTCAGGCAGTTGACCCACCCTTCTCAAGCTCTGGGTACCTGAGGCCTTACCTTCTGCTCCTGCGACTGCTGATCCAAAGCTTCCTGGATTTTTCCTCTTAATAATTCCTTCTCATTGTCCAGCACTTCCAGGAGCCTCTGATGCTACAAGGAAAGACACCTGAGGTATTGTTATGACTCTGAAAATCGACCAGTAAGAAAAGAGAACATCTGTATGCGGGTAACCAGTGATCACTGGAGGAAACACAGAAATACTGGCAAAATGAGGGTGGAGGGTGCAGGAAACCCAAGCTGGCAATTCATCCAACAAAGACTTTAGCTTTCACCCCATGTAAGTATACAGGGTCAGAGACAACAATCACTTAATTTTAATTACAGACACGAAAAATGCCAAGTTCAATGCCTGCCTGTGCTACATACTAAGTCCAACCGTGCCTCAAAATACAACAGGCCAAAAAGAAGGCTGGGGCATAGCTCCATGGCAAAGTGTCTGCCTCCCATGTACAAAGTCCTGATTTCCATCCCCAGCACCACAAACAAAAGCCACATATGAGAAGATATACAAAGATATACATGAGACAAACAGACAGACTGAAAATTGATACAGGTGAGGCTAGGGAGATGGCTCATCAGGAAAGTGTTTGCATGTAAGTGTGAGAGTTTGAGTTTAGAGTGCCAGTACTCCTGTAAATGTTGGGCGAGTGTGTTGACACACTTGGAATCCCATTGCTCAGGAGGCAGGACAATGGAATCCCCGAGGCAAGCTGGCTAGCTAGGCAAGCCAAACACCACAATTCTGGGTTCAAATGAGAGACCCTGCCTCCATATATGAGGTGGAGAGTGAAAGCAGACACCTGATGGCAATCTCTAGCTTCCACAGGCTGCACACATATGTGTATCACATATACACATGCCCACACATATATGCACATGGTGATATTTTATATACGCTCTAACAAATAAAGCTTGTCTAAAGATCAGAGGGCAGAGCCAGCCACAGAGTTAGCCATAAAGGCTAGGCAGTGGTGGTACACACCTTTAATCCCAGCACTTGGGAGTCACATACCTTTAATCCAGCACTTGGGAGTCACATGCCTTTAATCCCAGCACCAGTTAAGTTGAGACAGGACGTGATATGGCTGAGCAGAGAAAGGAATATAAGGCGGGAGGAGACAGGAATTTGGTGCCCTTTGGGATGAGGACTCAGTGCTGTGGATATCGCTCTGTATAAATAAAACACTGACTGGCCAATAGCCAGACAGGAAGTATAGGCGGGACTAGCAGAGAGGAAAATTGAAAGAACAGGAAGGCAGAGAGGAAGAGAATGCAGCCGCCACCAGGACAAGGAAGATGTAAGGTACCAGTAAGCCACAAGCCACGTGGCAAAGTATAGATTAATAGAAACGGGTTGAATATAAGAGTAAGAGCTAGACAATGATAGGCCTGAGTTAATGGCCAAGCAGTTTAAATAATACAAGCGTCTGTATGTTTATTTTATAAGTGGCTAAGGGACTGCCGGGGCTTGGCGGGACCTGGAGAGAAAACTCCAGCTACAGACTCAGGGCCATTCAGTCTGAAGATTCATGGAGACAGGATTTTCCCCTTTCCGCTAAGGAGTTGGCGAGGTAAGAAGTGGCTGTGACTTATTTCCTCTGATCTTTCAGCATTTGCCCTGATATCTGGCTCCCGGGTTTTTATTATAAGACCAATTAAGATTCATACTACACATGCAAACACGCATGCACACATGCCGCATACACATAAACATAAAAACAGATAAATACAACTCTCTTGAGGAGAAAGTAACCATTTTAGGCTTACAGAGGTTTGGAAAACACAATTCAACAAAATATCTAGAATTAAAAATAAATAAATAAACTATCAGTCACAAATAACTTTACAAACAACCTTTCCTTGAAAAATTCTTATGCCAACAATGTGTAGTGACAGGTGAGCCAACCCTCCTCAGAGGACAACAAGAACACAAACAGGACATGTGCACTAAAATGCCAATGCCATGCTGAGAAAATGCACCAGAAGGATGCTTCTTACTCCACAGCACCCAGTATAGCACACAAATACCAACTCTGGCCTGATCTGGACAAAGGCAGATGATACTTGGTGCCCAACAAGTAGGCAAGAGGTTCCACCTAAAACCTGAGAAAAGATTCTAAAACGGAGCTAAAAACAGCTTCCTAATTGTCTCTCTCAATGAGCGGCAGCTGCTGATTTGAGCTACTTGTGGGTTCCTAGTGTGCGCTCGACCTGCCGTATGGCAGGAATGAGGCCTCTGCAAGTGGCACTTTAAGCTGCGTGGTGGATTTAGCCTTTGCTAGCACAAAACAAAAAAAGAGGTTTCTGGGCTACACGCTGCTTGGATAAAAGCACAGACCCACGATAGCTCCCAGAGCTGGCGGTAAACATACCACCGCCATGTTGGGAAGCTGAGGTGGGCGGAGCCAGCAGCCATAGCGCCCTTTCAGTCTTACAAATGCTGCAGTTTAAAGCAATAGATTCACAATAAGACAGATTCAGATGTAATAGTTTACAATGTGTGTAAAAGATACGTAGGCTTGAAAGAGACAAAAAAGGTGATATATACAGTTATATAAACAAATACATAGTTTTAAAAAATAAAGTCTTTAAAGAGACAGTAAAATTAATATAAAAAATAAGCCATGTAAAGATGAATATTACACAGAGAATCTGGATTGTGTTGTCTTTGGGATTTTTAACTGCAGAAAAACATTTGATCGTAAAAGATGTTGAGTTAAACCAATATGTATATTTTAAAGATACCTTGACTTCAAAATTTGGATATAAGGACATGTTGCTTTGGAAAGGAGACTCTGCTTTTGTTTCCACAGAAAGCAAGAGGCTATGGATTTGTTCCAGATTAAGATACATCAGGTTTGACCAGCCAAGAACCCCTGAAAGGTCTCCAGTGACACCATGGCCCAGATGATCCAACATCCAGAATGGTGTGAAGGCAACTGGCTCAGACGATACAGCCTCATGGACTATTCCATCATCCTAAAATTTTCTTTGTGTCCCCATAAGATACAGCGCCCCCCTCCAGCAGGAAGTAGTAAGAGAAGCTACGCCCCAATTCCCAAATTATATGTAATTTTACTATGTTAAGGTTAAAACCTTCACTTTTTGAAAAAAAAAAAGAAAAGGGGAAGTGCTGTGGGATGTTCTGTATGGCAAATGTGTTGCTGTGATTGGTTGGTAAATAAAACACTGATTGGCCAGAAGTCAGGCAGGAGGAAGTGTAGGCGGGACAAAGAGGAGAATAAAGCTGGGAAGTGGAAGGCTGAGTAAGAGACATTGCCAGCCGCGGCCATGACAAACAGCATGTGAAGATGCCGGTAAGCCACAAGCCACGTGGCAAGGTATAGATTTATGGAAATAGATTACTTTAAGCTGTAAGAACAGTTAGCAAGAAGCCTGCCACGGCCATACAGTTTGTAAGCAATATAAGTCTCTGTGTTTACTTGGTCGGGTCTGAGCGGCTGTGGGACTGGCAGGTGAGAGAGATTTGTCCTGACTGTGAGCCAGGCAGGAAAACTTTAGCTACAGATACTGCCACTTGAAATGAGCTCTTTACTTACCACAGCCAAGGCGACAATAACTGTGACTCTTCCTGGGACCTTACGCACACTCATGCTTTATAAGAGGTGGGGCAACACTCAACACTCACGCCGTCTGCTGGACTGTCCCACTCTCCTCATGCTCCAGTGTGCAATCCGAGCCCTAGTGAGGGTGACCCCTTTTCATGAATTCATGAATTCTTCAACTGTTTTATAGACTCATTTCCAGAAGGGTCAACTCTCTAATAACTCTGTTAATAACTATCAGTTCTACCTAGTTATGACCTATAGCAACAAAAGCTACATAATTAATATTCCACAGAAGGCCTCACTCACAGCAATCAGTCTATAGCAGAATTGATTTCATCTCTTTATTCCTGTCCTTTCCAAAGTACTCTTAAAATAAGACAGAATTAGTGTCCATTCTCATTCACTCTATGATTCATAGGAAGAGGAGAGGAATGGCAGATAAGGATTTTTAATTCACCATGCTTATACAGATTAAAGACACACTATCTGATATGTAGAAGTCAACTGCATGTATCACCAGTTGATTCATTTTTATGACTAAGTAGAATTCTTTTGTATAAATACACAGTAGGTTTACCCATTCTACCATGGATAAAGCAGTCAGAAATGATCTTATAAACACATCTTTATTTTTCTTACAAATATCTACAACCTGGTTCAAGGTAATGTCCAAAGCTAGGCTGACTTCAGTCACCAGCGGGGCTGTGAAATGTGACAGTGTCGCAGAATGTCTGTCTGCAGGTGCAGGCACTGGATTGCACAGGCTCAGCAGCTGCGGTGAAGGGCTGACTCTTGCTTCTCACTACGGAACAGGTGATGTGTGATGGCTTTACCCCAACTGCTCTGGTTAACAAGACTTGGCTTTACAGCCCTATAAAAGACATTATGAAAATTAACTGACACTATCCCAGCAAATCTCATCCAAGAGGGATCTGTTACATTTTGCCTATTTAAGATACTATACTGCTTTTTAAAACTGCAGTGCAAGTTTAATAAAAAAAAAAATTATATGTATTTTACATGAAAATATAAAAATAAAAGTTATAAAAATCATGCAATTGGAGAAATAAGTTCTACCTTTACAGAGTAGAAGCTGGGTACAAGGGTGTCAAAAACAATCTTTTAAAACACAGCCAAAAGGAAAGGCATCTAGGAATAGAATGCCATACCTCCTTGGAAGAAATCATCCCAAGTGAAAATGCTCCTTGCAGACTCAAATATCAGTATAGAGGTTCTGTGGTTTTTACCCAATCCTGAACATGTGAAAAACAAACAAACACCCTCTTCTTCCTTGGAATGTGAATGTAAGTGACAAGACATGTCTGAGACAGAGCCACCCCGTCACACATGGTGCCCCTTCTATCCTGCAGCTTAGACTAAGCCACCTTGGTGTTCATGGCCAGGCATACAGTTACCTACAAACCGTGCACCTGAAACCTCCTACTATTTTTCCATATTTGGGGTGGTGGTAGTACATATTCTGTACAACAGTCTCTGACCTTCTCCAAGCTGCTGACCCTA